GCAACAGCGAATCGTGAAGGACTATCCCCAGCCGATGGTCGGAAACTTTACAATATTCATTTCGAAAATATCACTAAGTATTAAATTCATTCGTCACTATCTCTTTTATTCACTATCACAATGATAAAATCTATAAACATCACTGAAGCCAAAATGACTGCCACCACCCCAAGAGCCAATTCCCAACGGGCTTCCTCATGGCCAGAAGAGGAAGGATTGTAAACCATCGTCCATCTGATCTTCTGGAACCTGAGGCCGTACCGAACCATCACCATGCACCCGCCAATCAGGTTCAGGATCCACCCTGTCGACAGGAAGATGATCTCGCAGGAGAACGGGAAATCTTCGAACTGGGACGATATCGCTATGGTGGAGCAGATCAGCAGGAATCCGCTCATGCCCAGCAGGAGGATGTGCATCACCCATGCGCTGTAGTAGATGTTGACTTGGTGGATCAGCGACACACCGGCCAAACAAAGAACCTGAAGAAGAGTTCATTATAGGATATGTGTATTGGGGTCCGAGCGCTCGCGGTCTTTTTGTTTTGGGGTCCGAGCGCTCGGATCCGCGGTCTTTTTGAATCGGGGTCCGAGCGCTCGGATCCGCGGTCTTTTTGTATTGGGGTCCGAGCACTCGGATTCTCGGCTTGATCCGAGTATTTCTGCAGATGATATTCCAACTGAAAAAAGGAGACTACTTTTTTCAAACAAACTAACCTTACACGGCCAAAAAGAACCTTCAATGGGAATAATTTCTTAAGACAAAAAAATAATTGAAAAAAAGGAAGCTCGCGAGGACTGAACTCGCGTGCTCGGGGATGCCAGACGGAACCTCTGCTTACTGTGGCACGCAGTCACCTAAAAACGGTACCATGAAGAGAAATACCAATAAGCCGCGGATCCGAGTGTTCGGACCCCAATACAAAAATACCGCGGATCCGAGTGCTCGGACCCCAATACAAAAATTCCGCGGATCCGAGCGCTCGGACCCCAATACACTTTCTTTATTATATTATTCTGGAGATATGGTATAGATATAGATACTCACAATTTCTAGAAGTTTCAGCAAAAATGAAGGATCTGTAGGAGTACTGGGCATTGTTTCCTGACTTTACTTTGAAATAATCAGATACATTATTTGAAAGTGGAATCAATCTATTGATTTCTGATGACATGTCAACCTACATTTATTGTCAATGTCAAAGGACACACATACCTGGTACCGACGGAAAATGACTTGGAAAAAAATGGAAAAGCATTTAACTGATGGCTAACAACTCTTTGACACACTATATGGAGAAGAATTTTATTAACAACCATATACAGTGTGATCCATTTCTAATGGAAACACTCCTGTATCTTACGTAATCGTTGGATAAGGATCCTGAAATTTGCTGAAGCAAGAGATATACCAAAAATATACTCTATGACCGAGTGAGGTCATCTTCAGTGATATACACTGCTCGCCATCAGCCATGGAACCACACCAATTTCCGGAAAATGATAATAGGAGTCAAAATAGGTCGAAAATCACTTCGGAATCAGGACGCCGAACTCACTAACTATTCATATTTTTTCTAGAAAAATTTCAGTTTAGAAAAATTAAATTTTGTCGCACTTTTCACGGAAGCACTCCCGTATCTTACGTTATTGACTTCATCTTTTGACTTTCCTTTCCTCCTGCAAATTTCTGAACCCTACCTCAATAATTACGTGAGAAACTGGAGTGCTTCTAGATACAAAATTAAATTTTTCTGAACTGAAAATTTTTTAGGAAAACTATATAATAGTAAGTGAATTGGGTCTCCTGATTCTTTTTATGTTCCGGTTCTCACGAAAAAGGATATCCTATGATGTGCAGAGAACATCGTGAGAACCAAGGGACATGAGGTGGGAATTGGTGTTCTTCTTGAATTTCTGGAGGTTATATGCATCAAGAAACACCTCCCTTGGCAATGTGTTCCAGAGCCTCGCTCTTCGTTGGATGAACGAGTCTTTGGAAACAGATGTTCTGCAGGTCTCCAAAGTGACCAAGAAGGGGTGCGAAGTGATTTTCAACCATTTTGACTCCTGATATCTTTTTCTGGAAATTGGGGTGGTTCCATGGCTGTTGGCGAGCAGTGTATATCACTGAGGATGACTCCACTTGATCATATTGGTATATTTCTCGCTCCAGCAAATTTCAGGATCCTTACCGAAAAGTTTCGTGAGATACAGGGGTGTTTCCATTAGAAGTGGGTCACACTGTATGTGATGTTGTCAACACTATAGTATATTACGTAATATGTGTTTTACGCATATTACGCACGAATGGAAAAGTGCGTAAAGCAATTACGCGCGTCACCTACTATACTTTACCTACTGCTATACATTGTGTCTCTCTTTACTAAAGTACTTCATTTTTTTTATTTTTACCAAACAATATCATGACAGCGCGAAAAATAGAAAAAAGATTATGAAAAAAATACTTTTTTTGTGCATTTTGTTCCATTTTCACTACGCCTCATTGCAATGTTATGCATAATATCTGAGAAGTCCAGTGAGATGTAACAATATTTTTAAATTGCTTTTACTCGGTAATAACACATCTGATCGTCACGGAACAAGTGTAGGTACCTTTTTCCTGTAAAAAGGTGAGGAATTTCATAATCCAGGATCAAATTGTCGAAAAATATGCATACAAAAAATTTAAAGCAATATTTTAGGTAGTCCCACCCTGTATTGTACACTCCTTATTGGAATTTTGAAATGATTTCATTATCACTGCATTGGGCATGGAAAGCTCAGTTCTTGTACCAAATTTCATCTTTTTATCACATGGGGTTTCGGAAATACTCAAGAAATATCATCTTCAGAAGCCCCCTTTCAGGGGGCCGTAGCTTCATTAGGAGACATTTCTCGACTCATGTTCATTGGAAGTTTTCTTTCTATTTTTGATCGTTAAGGCCGCTGGTGAAGTTTGGCAGGCTAATTTCGGAACACCTTGTATAAAAGTTGAGGTAGCCAAAGTTAGTTTTACCATGGATTCCATTTTGAAGTAATGGCCGAGTCAAAAGAATAGGTAGATTAAAACAACAATGACAGAACATTTCGTATATTATGAAACAAGATACAAAAATTGGTATAGTTCGGCCAGCCAAAGAAGTTCTGGGATAAAAAGAAGAGGATGAAGGCTTTCAGTCCTCGGAGCCCAGAGTATCTGAATAATTCGGTTTTGCAGATGACTTTTAATTTGATCCCGCCATATCTAGCAAGTGCTGGAGATTCCATCGAAAAATTGACAGTGGGATGATCGGAACATATACCAGGTGTCCCAAGTTTCTTATCTCTTGGAGCGCACGAAAAGACATTCCTATAATAATGTTGGGAGAACATCGTGCAATATCTCGCTGCTTTACTCGACAAGATGAATTAGGAATGAAAAAGTGCTCCGAATGGCATTGAAATACCTCCCAAATGACTTATAAAAAGAATTAGTACATTTGCCAGGCCTGTGCATGGTAGCTACCCCTCATTCTTTATTTCCAAATGGCATCGTCATTGGAAATTGCGTGTCACATCATTTGGAATATAACGATAGTACATACCTGGTATTTTTTCATTGATAACAACAAAACTATTCACATTTTGTGACATTTTTCACGTTACTCAAATGAAAAGTTGTCTTCACTTCACAGAATAAAAGAAGATTAAACTGTTGTTGGAAAAAACTATGCTTTTTATGTCGACAAATTAATCACAGTTAATTTTACTCTATAGTGTATAACATCAATCAATTGCGAACGGTACTAGTAGGGTATTTGATCTACTCCTATTCAGTGAAGTTTTGACATATTATGTAATTATTTTCAATGACAATATACAGGAGGTACCATTTGGAAATAAAAAGTGAGGGTAGCTACCACAAGGCTGTCAAATTCAATTAATTTGAATATTACCCTCCGGCCGTTAGGACCTATACAGGGTGGGCCACCAGTAACGCCTCGCTCTCTAGAAGGCTAACCACTCATCTTCTTGGAAATCTTTCTCTCTAAGACAATGCATGTAAACATAGGCTACCATTTGAAATCATTTCGAAACATACAGGTTGTCCCAAAAAAAAGCAGTCCACTGAAGTTATACTTTTTTCAATGAAACACCCTATATAGTATTCTATTTTGAGATTCCCCCTGGAGAGCTGATTTCAATGACTCATCGTACTTGGGGTCTAGCAGTAATAATTACTGAGATATAGGGTGTGAAAAATCGAGATTTCCCGAGTTCAGGGATTGTTTGTATCGAAACTATTCATAATTGGTCAAAATGGTTCACAAATTCCTATCCCAATTTCTCATCCACTATCGAGTGGTATTTCATTAAAATTGATACAGGGTGGTCAAAAATCTTGATTCTGAACCACCCAGTATTTGTTTTAATTAAATATCAATAGTTGATAGTGGATAAAAAGTTGAGATATGGACATGTTAACTGTTTTGACCAATGATGGATAGTTTCGACACAAAAAATCTTGAACTTGGAAAATCTCGATTTTTCACACACTTTATCTCAGTAATTATCATTGCTAGACCCCAAGCATGATTAAACGTTGAAATCAACCCGTCAGGTTGAATCTCAAAATGCAAAAATGTATAGAGTGTTTCATTAAAAAATATATAACTTCAGTGTATTGTGATTTTGTGGGAACACCCTGTATGTTTGAAATAATTTAAAATGTTAGCCTATGTTGACATGCAACTTCCTAGAGAGGAAGAATTCCAGAAGATTAGTGGTTAGCCTTCTAGAGACCGACGCGTTACTGGTGGCCCACCCTGTATTATGCACTTGGTACATAAATTTCTGTCATTAGGAAAATACTCCAAGTAGTATTTTCATTTTTCAATTGTCTTGTTCAATAAGCGATATATTAATGCCTCTATAAGATATCTTGGGCCACCCGGTATTGTGCTCTCAGCTCACTTCAACCCTGCGGTCATCTTTTAGTCGTAGTGTATATCCACAAAACTATATATTGAGAGAAACAAGCTCCTGCTTCCCAAGCACATCCTTATAACCTTCCAACACAGGCTGGACTTCCTCTTCCAAAAACTCCTCCACTTGCTCCGCAGCCCTCCCGATATAAGTAGAAGCATCCAACAGACCATCCAAATCCCCCAAAATAGGCGCAAAGTACGGATCCTTCCTCACCCTATCCAAAAAATCGTTATCCTTCCCCTGCTGCTTCACCTGAGCCCCCGCCTCCTGAGACAAAACCCTGATCTTCTCGTGACACACCTGCCTATCCCCACCCTTCTTCACCATGGCCATGATCAGGTTCTCAGCAGACATGAACGGCAGCTCCTGGTCGATTCTTCTAGCTACTACTTTGGGGTACACCACCAAGCCCTGAGTAATGTTGGAGAGCACCATCAGAGCAGCGTCTGCGCTCAGGAAGGCCTCTGAGAGGGTCAGCCTTCTATTGGCTGAGTCGTCCAGGGTTCTTTCTAGCCATTGGACAGCGTGGGTGTTGGCTGCGTTGGAGAATAGGGCCATCAAGTGGCGAGCTAGAGCACAACAGCGCTCGGATCTCATGGGGTTGCGCTTGTAGGGCATTGCTGAGCTACCTATTTGGCTCTTTTCGAAGGGCTCCTCGATTTCCTTGAAGTTGGCGAGGAGTCTCAGGTCGCTGCACATTTTGTGGATGGAGGAACCTGGAAATTTTTGAGCAAGTTGTAGTAAAACTCCAGTCATCTCTATAACAATTGTGGAAATGACTGAAAGTTGTGAGTATGACTGGGAGTTTAACTACTATTTCATATCCATTTACTCCACCTTGAGATGCTATGGACCACTACTACAGATTATTTGAACACCATGGAACAGCTGGAGAATACCTACATCCAACAGATGCAATTTGTAATATGAGAGACAATTTAGGAAATGTGGTTGGTTGTGCAGGTATATCAATGACGTGTGGCTTTTTAGATTTTTTCGATAGAATGAAGGGTGGTATCTACTGATATATTCTTCAAAATTACCAGAGACATTAATCTTCTGGAGTCAGAAAAGAAAATATATTTCACTCACAATACTTGGACTAGTGGATGAACCTCTGGAGGATTTAAAGAGGCAACCTTAAAGAGAAATCTCTTGAAGTACCTACCTTCCAGAATCACCAAGAGATAATCTCTTCCACAACTGAGAAAGATGTCGCACTCGAAATCATTCTAGGTGTGGCGACAATGCTTGAATCAACTTATTTTTAGTAATTTTTGAGATGTCCTATGAATCTACCAGAGATATTCTCCATCTGTCGAAATCAAGATCCCTTACCAATTTCTGTGGAGCATCAACGTTTGGACCAATGGATCTAGCTGTAGATATAATTCCATGGGATTCAGTTTGACATCCTTCAAAAGGCATATTTAACTTAAACTCTTGATATGTTTTTGAAAATTCCCCTGGAATCACAATTACCAGAGGCGATGTTATTCTCGAGGCAGAGGGAAGAACCCTTATTTCAACCCAGAATCAAGGTTGGCATATCTTGGTATATTATGTGGAGGATTAAGGACAATAACCTTCAAGAGGAAAAACTACCCAGACCTCTTGTTATCTTCTGGAATATTCTCCAGAATGACCAAGGGATATTTTCCATAACAAATAAAAAATAACTCGTACTAGGATTTTTGATTTGGGGCGTCAATATTTGAACCAATGGAATGACCTGTAGATGTCAGAGAATTCAGTATAACAACCTCAGGAGAGTCTACCAAAATTCCTTGGTGATTTTTGAGATGTCCTCCAGAATTAGCAGAGGAATTGTTATTCTTTGTTCGAAATGGAGATCTCTTTCTAGTTTTTTCACATGGAGCATCAATACTTGTACCAATGGATCATTCTTCGGAAGATAATCTACCTAAACCTCTTGGTATCTTCTTGAACATAATCTAGAATCACCAGAGATGGCCTTTTCCTCAAGGCAGGATGAAGAGCTTCTATTTGGACAAATGAATATATCTGTAGCTAATATGACAGCCTACGAGAGGAAAATCTACCAATATGTTTCCTCTCTAGAAAAAAACTGGTACTTTTCAAGAGGTATTTGTCTTCCAAAAGCATATTCACTCACCCAGAGAAGCCAGATGTCCAACTATCTCCACATCCACCTTCCTAGTGTAAGTCTGTCCAGTAACTGGATAAGTTCTATCAAACCCAGAAAGCTCCGCTACCCTTTTATCCAATGCCCTCACTTTTGCACTATCGTTGAACAGTTGCATGAACGAAGCTTGGGTTCCAGTAGTACCCTTGGCACCTCTGAACCGTAGGTCCCCTCTCGCCCTGCGCAAAGCTCTCTCGTCCATGAGGAAGTCGTACAGCCAAAGAGTGGCCCTTTTGCCCACGGTGGTGAGTTGAGCCGGCTGGAGATGAGTGTATCCCAGAGCAGGAAGAGATCTGCAATGTTGATGCAATGTTTATTCAATGTATATGCAATGCTGATGCAATGTTGATGCAATTGTGATGCAATGTTGATGCAATGTTGAAACAATGTCAATGTAATGTAGCACAATTATTGGACAGCTGCATGAACGAAGATTGAGTTCTGGCAGTACGCTTGGTACCCCTGAACTGTTGGTCCCCTCTTGCCCTGCCAATAGCTTTCTCTCGTCCATGTGGAAGTCGTACAGCCTAAGGGTGACCGTTTTGCCCACAGTAGTGAGTTGAGCCGGCTGGAGATCCCCAGAGCAGAAAGTGATCTGCAATGTTGATGCAATGTTGATGCAATGTTGATGCAATATTCACGTAATATTTACGTAATGTATATGCAATGTTGATGCAATGTTGATACAGTGTTGATACAATGTTGATACAATGTTGGTGTAATGTAGCACTATCATTAAACAGCTATATCCACCAGGAAGTCGTACAGTCAAACGGTGGCTCTTTTGCCCACGATAGTGAGTTGAGCCGGCTGAAGATGAGTGTATCCCAGAGCAGGAAGAGATCTGTACAATGATATAAAATATGAGCCGAAAGGAAGACATCCAAAGCGCCATGATATATAATGTTCTGTTATGTTGATGCAAGGTCGATGCAAGGATGATGTAATGTTGATGTAATGTTGATGCAATGTTGATGCAATGTTAAAGCAATATTGATACAATATTGATGTAATATTGAGGCAATGTTGCTGCAATGTTGATGTAACGTAGTGAAATCAAGTTTACCTGTATTCTCGAGCGAATTTGGCCAAATTGTGGATGACGACCGCCACCTTGGGCAGCAGCAGATCCAGCCCGTCCCTGAGGACGATCAGGTCGGTGTTATCGCCCACGAAGCAGGACGTGGCTCCCAGATGAATGACGGGGGCGGCGAGGGGGCACTGCTTGGCGTACACGTGCACGTGCGCCATGACGTCGTGCCTGGTGAGTTTCTCTTCGGCGGCGGCGGCGTCGAAGTCGACGTCGTTCAGGTGGGCTTGCAGCTCGTGGATTTGGGCATCGGTTATGTCGAGGCCGAGTTCCTGGAAGGAAGGTTGGTATGCGTGTAGGGTTCGCAATGTTTTTTTCTGTTTTTGCTGGTGCCTTTATTCATTTCGAAAGAGCTTCAGAAATAAATTTTAGTACTCCACTGAAGTTTTCGGACGCTTCCAATTTTATATTGGCCCTCCTGTGAAATTGGTGGATATTGTAAGTAGGTTGAGAGATACAGGGTTAGTTGGCAAAGTTGAGCAATTTCATGCCTATAACAAAATGTCGTTTTGAAAGTTGGAAAATTTCGAATACTTCCGGAGAGACTTATACGAAAAAAACCGAAATTTCCAGAAACCTCCTCAATTTTTTTTTCAAGTTATCTGAAGAAATTAATCGAAATGAATGACACTTTATCATGGCCCGTTTTTCCCCCGTTTTTTTCGTCGAGGTGGTTGAAATCCTTTATGGACATCATATGGGGAAGACAAGGTGGTCATGATATAAAGTGTTATCTATTTTTTAAAAAATTTGTTCTAAAATTTGTTCTATCCGTCATTCGGTTGCCCCCTTACGAGCAACCCTCAAAAGTCTTCGAAAGTCTTGTGCGAGCAAGGAATGACGGGGGCCTTACCTTTTAACGTGTGATCCCAAACACTTTCTTGGGCCATCAGAAAAATTTCTGCAGTCGACGGGGATCGAACCCACGACCGGCAAGCGAATGCGAATTAGAATATAGACACTCTGTCCGCACGGCTACCTGGCCGATTAATCTCTTCAAATTGAAATCGAAAATTTCGTTTTTTTTTTTCGTATATCTCCGAGAGTATTAGGAATTTTCCAAGTTCCTGAAGAGCATTTTAGTATACAAAGAATTACACAACTTCGCCATGATTTAACCGACCCTGTATCTCTTTCGGTTCACGAGTTCCCAAAGATGATGATTCTCCACCAATGTCAGTTCAAGATATATCTCGATCTTCTGATATTTTGTATCTTCTTTCACTTTCTAGTTTTCAATGTTCAAATTCATCGAACATCCTTTTTTCTTCATCTTTGGATATGTTCCAAGATACTAACATTTTTGCATTCATTGATTCTTCAATTGAATTTTGGTTCTGTATTCGTAACTTCCCAAGTTTCCTTTGGGAGACCTTTGAATTCAGGAAATTTCCGATTCCTATTTCAGCATGGAAAAGAATAAAAATGGATGATGAAAAATCTGATATAAAATACATTGAATGTTTGTTCATGTTTTGAAATTCCGCCCAGAATACCAATTACATTACAATATTAATCCCATTAGCATACGTGATTCAACAAATGATTATATAATGTGTAACACGTTCAACAATAAATAAATGCATTATGTTCTAGTCAACAGAGCTGGAAAATATAATATTCTAGTTAATTGTTGAATTTTTCAAATAAATCTCCATCGACAAATTAAGGAAGATTTTCGGTTATGATTGCGAGAGTGTGTACAAATTACCGATAATATTGCAAGAATCCGTGTTACCTATCTGAAAATTGCAAGTTTATTTTCATATTTTGGGGAAAGAGCCAGAGTTCGAAAGTAACTCATTGGAATATTTCAATAATGAAGAAATTCTCGAGGAAATGTTGATTTTTCTTTCTGAAAAATATCATAATGCTGACAAAGACTATAAATAAAATATGCTATAAGACAATTATATTGTATTCACCGAAATGCGATAGTTTGTTTTACTTTTCGAAGTCAATATTCCATATATTCGTATTTTTTACTGGCGTCTAAGCGACACGGTTTCAAATGTGTTTTTATGGCAACAGGATGTTTTTGCTGTGCAATTTTCGCAGTGCAGTGCAATTACCGCTGTAATTTTGCGTAAATTACATGATCTTCGTGATAAAATCGACAGTTCATAAGAGAAAGAAAGATGAAATGCAAAAAAAGAGAATATCAGACAATTCTCATCTGGGATCTTCAATGGATATATTATTTCAATATTCTGAGGAATATTATCTAGGAAAATGGATACCAATTTTCCTCAACACAGAAATGATGCCAAAAAAGTAGATCTCTATTGACTGCCCTATGAAGCATGGGAGAGACATCCCATCAACGTCCAAGGCCAACTTGTATGTACATCTCCCAGGTGAACACAACTCTTGATCAGGACCTTTTCTATCGATCAATCAATCAGATTTCTCCGTGCCAAGCGGTGGAAACGATTTTTCAAGAAATGTCGACAGAGCGTTCGGAATCTCAGTGCATACCTAATCAAACATTCACGAAGACGCGATATTTTTTTCACTTTTTGAAGTCTATTTTACATGTATGTAGTTTTTACTGGCGTCAGTGACGGTTTCAAATGTGTTGTCATGGTAACGGGATGTTCTCGCTGTGCAATTACTCCTATATTCTGAGGGATATCATCTAGGAAAACGAGTACCAATTTTTCTCAACCCAGAACAAAATGATGCCAAAAGTAGTTCTCTATTGACTGTCCTATGAAGAATGGGAGAGACATCCAATCAAGTTCCAAGGCCAATTCGTACATCTTCCAGGTGAACACAACTCTTGATCTGGACCTATCCTATCAATCAATCAATCAGATTTTTCCGTGCCAACCGGTGGAAACGATTTTTCAGGAAATGTCGACAGAGCGATCGGAATTTCAGTGCATACCTAATCTTACATGTAAATGTGTCAGCTTCCGACCAAAATCAACAATAAACAAAACCGTAGTTAGAACCAATTGAGTCTAATTAACGATTCGTCACTCGATTTTTTCTGAGCCGTCTCGCTACCTAAGGAAAACAAATGACTACTCGTCGTGGGTGTGAGGTTAGTTAATTTCTACAGAGGGTTAACGATTTCAATTAATACAGTCATTCATGCTTGGTCTTGACTTGAAGTTGATTCAGACAATTGGGGAAGACGTTCCCGGAGTAGTGCTGTTTTTGGAGAAAAGGCGGGAGTAAAAGGTTTCAAAGTGGATAACAGTGATTTTTTCGACATTGCGGCAGAAGACACGATGTCTGCTGAGGTGGAGAGTAACAAGGAAGATGATGTGAAAGAGCAAAAGCCGAGGAAGCCCTTGAAGGTTGTGTTCGCGGAAAAATGGCAAATTGGAATTAAAATACTTGAACTGGTGAGTCGATTAGAGGTGCTCGAATTATATCAAATGATATTAGGAAGGCAATAAAACTTTGGCATATTCTTCACAGAGGATTTGTTCCGAATTCAATATTGCATAAACAATGGACACAGTTAGTTTAGAAACAGGTAATTCGAAACAAAAACACAAACTGTTTGTTTTTCAGGCCGAACTTGAAAAATTGAATACCTATTGTTTGATGAAATATTTTCATTTTCATACAAAAAAAAATCTCTATAACAAATTAGCAATATTTAGGTACATACCGATTGAAAAAATTTACGTTGCAGACTTTATTCAAATTTAATGAATTTCGGAAGTAAAACTCATGAATTTTTCACAACTACACATACAGGGCGATCCTTTAGTACCTACCTTATTGAACATAGAAATATTGCAGATTTTTCACTTCAAATTATTCAATTTGTTTGAGTCATTTCCTAGATAACAATAATTATGTCAAATGATATTAGGCAATAAATCAAACTTCCGAAATCAATATTGCATAAACAATGGACTTTGGCACTTTGGTGTACATCTAGTCGAGAGATAGGTAATTCGAAACAAAAACACCAACTGTTTGTAAATATCAGATTGTTTTTCAGAGCAAACCTGAAATTTTGATGAATAATTCGATATTGTTTGATAAAGTATTCTCATTTTCATTCACACATAACCTCTATAAGAAATTAGCAATATTTAGGTATCTATACCAATTCAAGCAATTAACAGTTGCAGACTTAATTTAAATTGAATGAATTTCGGAAGAAAAACTCATGAATTTTTCACAGCTACACATACAGGGCGATCCCTTAGTCTACCTAAATGTACATAGAAATATTGCAGATGTTTCACTTCAGAATATTTATATCGTTTCCTAGATAGCTGTTAAATTCGTGAAATTCATAATCAATCACCCCTACATTCAAATTTGAAACACCATGTGAGTATATTCAAATTTGGAACACCCTGTATCAAGTTAGACTCCGAAAACCAGGAATTAACAAATATGTGTCCTCGACAGGAATTCCCCCTGTTAATGTCGAAATTTGGAAATTTTGCTGGATAGTGAAAAAGAGTCAAGAAGGTGGGTTGTTTTTCTGAATTTGCAGAAACAGTGGGAGTTTTTCACTTTCAACGAACTGAGAAGAAGATATCCCAAGGTAGAGGCCGAATGAATTGGCCTCACGTCTCACTAGTGCAATCTGATGGTCAAAAATCAAATCTTCCCAGCTTAGCCTTCATTGACACAATCTCTTCTTATACCTTTGGGTGTTCAAAGGTACACATATCCGCACGCCGTGCATATAAGATTTTTTGCTGCACTGAGTGCTCTTCTGCATTGAGTCAACCTCCATCAAGCCATATGAACAGCTGCCCTTCTCAGTCAACCTTCTTCGACACATTTGATCAAATGTCCTGAAGTAAATCAACCTTCATCAAGCCATATTATTAAGTACCCTTCTGCACTAAGTCAGTATTCATCAAACTGTATCATAAACCACCTATTAAATGAACTGACTGGATAGGCAATCCATTTGCAAAATGTCAATAATCATTAATCTTTCATTATAATCATGACGAACAAATCATTTGATTTTCTTTTATTTTTTTTATTTGTATGCAATTGTTTGTTGTATAGTTTTTTCTATTGAGTTTAACTAAAAATTATCGATGAGTTATAATATTTTCATTTTCGATGTTATCTGATATAACGCTCGTAGAAAAAAAATTGTTCCTAAAATGTGCGCAAACTGCTTTTTTCGCACGCTAAATTTTATGCGAACTGTAGCTAACTGTATTTGCGAGCGGATAAGTAATACTTTGCGCCCTTGTTAGGGAAATAATTACTTTCTATGGCTGAAACACAAACTTGTTCTTGTTTTACTGTGTTCGATACATTAATGAGGTACTTTGTATGTCATCAATTTTATTTCCGAATCTGTTATCACAATGACTTCACTTTGTTATTATATCAAGAAAATCTCATCGCTGACGGAATGTCAAATTTCAAAGCCGTAGAAAAGTTATAGTGTATATCTTGCACGGAATGCATCTTTCCGTGCTCGTTGAACAATATACTATTTTCTTCGGCTATAACACAAGATTGCTCTGTGTTCGATACATCAATGTACGAAGGCCTGGAAGGGACACATGAAATAAAAAAAATAAAAACTTCAATATTCCGAGTTATAACTCCGAATTTTAAAATTCCGTGTTATAACTCGGAATATTTGATGTAAAATTCCGAGTTATAACTCGGAATACTTTGTATATCATCAATTTTATTTCTGTATCTGATATCACAATGGCTCCATTGTGTTCAAAAAAAACTCATCGCCCATGGAATGTCAAATTTCAAGCAATGGCAGCTCTGTCTAATTCGCGAAAATCACGAAGTGTGCGGCCTCTGGTGGCAAACTGTACAAGTCTTGCGAGTATGAACAACAAATATGGCGACCATTGTTTTGAATTTCATAAAATTGAACTTTTATTGTTTACAATGAAGAAACCAGTACCTACCTTATAATAATATAATATACATTTTCTGAAGCACAATTAGAATCATTGTATAATTTTTGGTTGCAATGATTCAATCTTGAGAATAACTTCAAGTCCTCGATTGCTGGAGATCCTTGTTTATGTAAATCGATGATATTGTTCATTCTGAGCAGCCTCTCCAACCATATCTTCTTTCCCAACCCCTTCACTAGAATTCCATCTCCTTCATAAAAGCCAGTGATATTTCTTGATGAATTCAATTATTTCTTCATACCTATACCATATTGTTGTGATAGCTGATTGTTTGTATGGTTCCATTCCAGTCCATGCAAGTGTTGAGTGGACCATTCCGATCATTCTATATGTTTGGAAACTGTGGGATTGTAGTGTGATATCAATGATGAATACCACCATTGTCCACATCAAAATGGCAATTTCTCTGCACAAAAAGTAATTTTTTCCATACTGAAAACCTTGTACGTATTTCAAGAAGTCAACTTATTATTCACTATTTTGCAAAATGATTTGGAAATAACCAATTTGCAATGAGTGCATAGGTCGCGTGCAAGAACTGTCAGATGACCGACCCTGGAGGCAAAACATATTTGTTTACAAGTGATCGAAATAGTTTTCCACAATTATTTTGGCATACGAATCGTATTTTTCCGCTATTCATCAATTCGCTAATGCCATCACATTGTGCTGTTGTAAAATGCACAAAAACTGCAGCGGAAGATGAAGAAATCCGGATGGTACATTATGATTCAAAAGTAAGTACCTACTATAGTCACTCACATAGTTTTCATTTTTGAAATTTGGTTATTTCTCTGATTTCTCATCGGAATTCCTTCTGCAATAGAATCAGCTAATAGAAATATTTACCTGAAATTTCTAGAATAATGCAAGAAGATTGGATTCATGCAATCAATCGGTAGGACTGGTCTGACATGCTGACGATCGTGTGTGTTGTAGACATTTTCAATCTATTAGCAGCATTAGTTTGTATTGCAGAAGTGGCAGAAGGCAGAAGGAATTTTAATTAGGAATGACAACATTTCATAATGCTAACTATGTGAGATTACTATTTACCTGAAAAATCATATTCCCTAGTCTCTTGCTGCATTTTTTGTGCATTGTACAACAGCACAATGTGAAGGCATGCTTGAATTAATGAATATAGCAAGAAACACGATTCGTATGCCAAAATATTGTGAAAAACTATTTCAACCTTTTGATTCCTCTGTAACCAAAGAAAAAAGTGAGGTTGTGTTTCAATAATTCATAGAAGAATGAGGTTGTGTTTCAATATTTTGCCTCCAGGGTCGGTCTTCGTGCACGCGACCTATACGGCAATGTTTTTGTTGTTCATACTCAGTTGGAAATTTGACGTTGATTTGACATATAATAGAGCCATCTATTGGTTCGTGATTTTCGCGAATAGATGATAGCATTATTTGACAGGAAATCAATTAGCTACAAGACGAGTAAATCGAAAATGTCGCTGTTATTTATTATAGCCATAGAAAAATTATAGTGTATAACTTGCCCGGGATGCTAATTTCCTACTCGAATGATTGCAGTATTCGCCTGTGGCTCATGCTGCAAACTTCATTCCCGTAGGAAATCACTATCATTCCGTGCTCGTTAAACAATATACTATTTCCTACGAGCGTGCTATTATATCGATGACAAAAAAGTCTATTTCATTATTTTTCAGTGCATTAAAATATCGTGCGTAAAAATTACTTCACTGCACTAGTTCTGAAAAATTACTTTACCGCACTAGTGCTGAAAAGCTACTTCTCCGCACAATTTTTGTATTGTTGAAAATAAGGATATTTTGGACTGACTAAATGATCCATGTAACTTTTATGTCTTATGTGTCATTTTGTAGCATCATTAAAAAATATTGTTCATTAAAAACCTTTTTTTTTTCATAAATGATATGGACAAAAACACTCGTAGGAAAAACGTTGTACCTAACTCTCCTAACTCATGCGGAAAATGTCTTTTCCGCCCTAAATGACGACTTGCGCGGACTCCGCTTCGCGTCGTTCGTGCAACTGCCGTCGCGTGCGTAAAAGTACTACTTTCCGCACTTGTTAGGAAAATAACTTTTACAGCTGGTATGTGCCGTTTGCATGGGCTTCATTTATGATCCAGCTTCCACAGCAGGCCTGGGTAAAAGCCACATGCTCCACGTAGGGGTCATGTATACCGCCTACACTGGATACATGGTGGTCAACTGTGTCCTGTTGGTCGGAAGAACGCTGGGAGAAAGGATACCCTACAAGACAGTGTCTATTTTCGCAATAACTGGATCTGCACTGTTTCTCATTACATGTAAGTTACAATTGGAGAATATCAAATGGAGAGTAAAAATCGAGGGGGAAACAACTCTTTAAATAGGTGTACACCATCGAATTTTAAGTACCTAAAGTATCATTTCCAATACTAAGTACATATTCAATAAGCTTTTGAGTCTCGTTTTTAGTTCTTCAGTATTCAAGTACCTGTTAACAGGACCTTGAGTACCAGTTTTAAGCATTTTGAGTACTTTTTAATTGCCAGATATTTAAATATGGTGTACACATTCAGGGTAGTTGTGTCCCCCTCGGTAAAACTATAGGGAAGTTACAATGGAGGAATTGAATTCGGGAGTTTATAATTGAAGACCACAGGGGAAAAAAGGGGAATGTCACAATATGGTGGAAATCGACTTGAAATCGCCATCTGATAGCCTAACCGCTATATTTTAGTATAAACAGAGGTCCATAGCAATAACGCAGCTAAGTCAGCTAATATGCTCGTTCGAAAATACGTTCACATGGAAAAAACGCGGAATGTCCACTTCAAAAATGTGAAGAGAGGGGAACGTCCAAGCTTAGGGCTTGTTTGTATACAGATTCCATTGTGATTTTACTAGGTTGTTTTCACACTGTCAAACAAAGGGAAACCCTTTAGTGTTTGGGGAACATTGTGGGTACCTATATAGGGTGGATAGGGAGAGGAAGTAGGTATTGTGATTTCTTCAACTTTTGGAGATTATAAGTTCTTGGGAGTACTTTGTTAGGCGAAAAACTCCAAAGATTTGCCGTTCTATGTATAAACGAGTTTTGGTAAAGAGTTGTTCGACATATTTCGAGGTTGACGACAAAAAGGTGTGTTGACTGGGCTTGTCGAGTACGTCTGAGTGATGGGAATAAAATAATATATAATATAATAATTTATAGAAAATGATCAAATTATAGAGAAGCTAGCTGTACTATATGACAACTTACCGCTCATTAGGTAGTCAGGCAAGAATGGAGAAATGTACCAGAGCAGATAACTGCGAGTAAACAATTCAGTTTTTTGACAATTTATGTGGACATTCCCCATTTTTTCATTGAATCTTTGGAACTGTTTTTTGTTTCATTTTTCCATTCGAATATGATTTTTATTCCTAGTTGTTTAACTTTATTGCTCATTATACTCCATCAAATTAATCCAGGTGGTTTGATTTCAGTTTCCTTCAACTTCCAAAAAGTAAGGAGGTTTTAAACTTTGAAATGCGTTTTTCTCGAAACTTACTTTTTTGTGACATTCCCCCTTTTCCCCTGTGGTCGTCAATTGAGTAATGTGAAACCCAAATATGTTGAAGAACTTATATAGTTTTACTACCGAAAATACCACTATTTTGAGTCACTTGAGCATTTCAGTTCAAAGCAGCTATCATATCAGCTGGCATCCGGCACGTTTCTAGTTTCTAGGAGTTAAACCTAAACTTTAGCTCCTAGACAAAAAAAGTGTTGCCTAGCAACATACATACTGATCATTTCATTGTGTCAGTATGAGAAACGTGATATTCAAGAGCTAATTTTGGAACAAAAATGGACGACTTTTGAGCTGATTGCAGAAAAAAATATTTTTCCTTTATTTCCAGGTATTCTGTTGACTGTCGATCGCCTGTACCTGATGAAACACTATTTTTATCATCCGAATATGTATCTGCTGACTATGATGACGACTTCTATCATCTTCGCTTTCATCAACGTGGTACTTTTGGCTGTTGATGCCATGTTCACCTTCATTAGAAAAGAGGACTTCTGAATCTTCTATGGAAAAATGTATATTAGCGACTTGACCTGTACCTGGTGAAATAATGTTGTATCATAGGAATAGGCCAAATGATGTCAAAATAACTTTAATTGCAGAATTTCAATATTATATCTGTAATATCATTTGATGAAGCCAAAAAGTCCATAAAAAAATTAGTCAGAGTTCATGATACTCTTCTTCCCTGTTCTGTAAATATTAAGCGAAACAATGTAAATATATATTTTGAATTATCACATTCCGTCCAGAAGTAGTTCTTAACTAATATAGGTTATTTTTGTGTATGTCATTCTTTTATGTAACGCAACCTAGATAGATATTAAACAAATCGATAAATTATCATCAAAAGATTTCTAATTTCTTGATTTCATATACAGTGTCATTCATAAAGTTGTCATCATGTGGAAAAAGCTTCTAATAATAATTTATTTTGTGATTCTTGTTAGGTGATGTTTTTGCATCGAAAGAAATGGAAAATTACTCACTCCGTCAGGGTCACGTGACTGTCGCTACATGTCAAAAGTTTTTTCAAATTAATCGCGGAAAATAGGCTTTCATCTCTTCATATTTCGGAAAAGTTAACGAGGAAAAGTTGTTTTTGAATTTGAATGTTCTATTGCAACTTTAAGTTCTTGATATTAGAGAGAATTGAAATTGAAAAGAAATCAAAAAATGAAAGTTGCAATATAACACTTAAGAGAGGACACTGTATACTACCTCATCAAAAATAGTACCTATATTTTTCCATTGGGAGTAAATGACTTTTATATTCAACTGAAGAAAATCTGGTAGGATCATTTTTCAGAAAGTTGATTTTCTACTGAATTTCGTTTCAAGAAACATTTCGATAGCTTAAAAATCGTGATTTATACGGATTTTTGTTCGTTAACATGCTTGGCAACATTGTGCGGAAGCACGTGGTGCTTGGACCAATAGCAATAATCAGTTTCACTGTAATAAGTATCATAGTAATACCACGTATCAACCAAAAAAGTAGTCTTGAGTAATCAATATGTTGATGGATTGTTTTTGAACCACATGGGTGAATCATATAAGAGATTGTTCATAACTTGACATAGAATATTTCAAATGAATTAATCACATCCATCATAGTTTCATTCTGATGAAATAACTTCATCATTCTTGCAGGATACGATACGAGTTATTGAAGTTGGATACATTTTGATATCCAAAACTAGACAGCATAGACATTATTGTTGTATCCTGAAAACGTGAAGAAAGATTTGGTGAATTTGGTCAGTTCAAAAAGAGATGAGTAGGTACCCTGTATTTTTGTCATTCTTTGATTTGCGGTTCTAAATAGTCGAAATGTCTAGTGTCATCTCAGTTTGTCAGTTGTCCTGTATGCCAAATCACAAAGCGAAAACCTAGCACACGAATTCACCTCTCAACTGGACACTACTTTCAAAATGTCAGAAGACAACTGCTTCTCATCGAACCAACATTGCCCGTTTTATCCAGAATACCACTCGCTGAGCATCGAATAGAAGCCATTCGCATTCCATAAACCAAATGGAAGGTGAGAGCAGTCCAGTTTTGCTCACGTCGCCAGTGAAACCTGGTCGTCGTTTCGATGTATTGAGATGGGCCCAAATGGTAAGCACATACCCTTCAACCTGGCTTTCTGCTAAAATGGACTGCTTAAATGGACTGCTTAAATGGTCTGTTAAATGGTCTGCTAATCCACTACTTTCACAACTTGGAACTGTATCTGTATGAGATGGCTCAAACACTGACCTATGATGAAACAGCAAAGCACTGGCAAAAATACATCAGATTATGCACAATACACCACACCCAAAACACCCTCTGGCTTTGGTGCAGGTGTATACAATTGTAGACCTAGGACAACCTAGAACAGAGGCCACGTTTATACCGTATTTAGTATGCTTACCAAGTCGATTTGACCAAATTCAGACCAAATACCTTAGTTAACGCATGTTTACACCATGTATCTTTAGCTGACTAACTTCACCAACTTTGTTTTGATTTGATTATTTTTTTGAGGTTAGGTTGTGGAACTCCATTTGAATTCGTGAATTATGAATAATACCTTTTAGTAGGATTCGAAATTAGCTGAAATTGAATGGAATATTGTTATGAAGTCTCATGAAACAGCAGATACTTGCACTTAACTCAAGTCAAGGCTATACAGAAGTAGAACAAAGTGTTTACACCGTTTTGGTCACCATACTATTTTAGTCTGGTACGCAACAAGTTTCGTGCCAAACCAAGCTGGTAACTTTACCAAGTGTACAGTTTATACCACACTAACCAAGAGTAATTAGTTAAAATATAGTCATTAGTCTTGCCAGTACCAAGACACGGTATAAACGTGGCCAGTGATACCAACCAGCCTAGTGTCCTGCTTCGAGGAAATTCACCTCACACATGGAACAATCAAAATATTCAAGCGGCTCTGACAGCACTTGGCTAATAACCTTCAACGTCTAGACTGGTATTGAACTGCCAGAAAATACTCAATACGAATTGTTTCTGGCATGTATTCCTGGCCACGCTGGTATGGAGGGAAATAAAATGGCAGATTCCCTTGCAAGTGCATTAGTATTATTGAGATCTCATAATGTCTTGCCACATATATACTAGACACTGAACTTCAAGACTGGCAGAATTTACCAGGATTGCATTGCATTGCAAGGCATTCATACATCTTCCAAAGAATGTCACCAAACAAATGTTAGACTACAGAAAGCCTATGCTCTATAACAGGCTGACTTCAGGTCACTGTCGTCTGAATCATCATATTCTTAGACTTGAACTGTCGGAAGATCCGACTTCATTCAGAAACTGGATCAACTTTTCAACTCAACTTATTTAGGTGCGATAAAAGTTCAATTCGAAATGTCAACGTGTCGATTCAAATTTTCATTCAAATAAAAACGAAAAGCTGTTTTTTTTTCCTATTGAAGACTCATGGATGGTTGATTTCGATCACCAAAGACTTTGAGTACATAATTCCACACTGAAGGGAAAAGACGAGGATAAGACTACTGGATCTTATTTGAGGTTAGCTCAGATAAGGTAGATCTTATCAAAAGTTGTCCCCACCATGTCACGATATAGGGAATGGTGATTTCACCATATCGATTCATAAGGTATTTGCTTCGCTTGATGGTTTGTAAGAGGATATTCGAATAGGCACGATGCTGGGCCGATGGTTGTTATTATCTTGGTTAACATAATTATGAGGACGAAGCAGCTTTCCCTATTTCATTTCATATTCAAATTTGCTCATCTTTATTAAGTTTTAATGACTTTTACTTGGCTGATGGGACCATGTCCACAAAGCCATAAAAAATTAATTTTACTCATATTTTTACATACTATTCAATATACATAAAAAAAGGATTCAGCATAGTGACGGAAATTGCGTCTGACTCTTATGTTGTCTATTCCTCCCTCTCTAGGCACTATCTAGGAGTTTGAAATTATTAGATCATTGATCGAGCCATCATATACAGACACAATTCTTTGGTTTTCTGTTCCCGTTCAAGATTTGCAGCCTCCTTTGCTTGATACTAGCCGGAGTGTTGTTCCCCAAAGAAAAGTCCTACGTGATATCCATCATCGTGGTGCTGGCCGTATCTGCTGCCTTCTGGTTCATCACAAGCATAGACGTGATCTCGTGGTTATTGAGGGAACGCATCAGGTTCAAGTCTTGGCTGATGATAGCCGTGGCTGGCTTCCTCATGTTCTGTCTTTCCGCCGGATTTATGTTCAAGACTGGCAAGGGTTCCCAGGTGCTGATGATCACGCTAGGGGTGGCTAGTTTCGTCACTGCGATCTTATTTCTTCTAGATATGCTATGGATATGTTACAGGTGAGTGACAGCCTGACAAGGGTTTGTCGTTCTAAATGAAAATTTAGTTAGTAGGCGAGAGGTATAATACTAGTTGCGTTTTATCGGCATTGCTAGTGTCACGAGTGGGACAGAATCGCCATTTTATTGACTATTCTATGGAATTTCTTATCATCCTGGTTGCACTGGCCATTCGATCTCAGAACATCGAATGCGTGGTGGAATGTTTGGAATTCACCCTTATTTGTCAAACATACATACATTATAATAATTTTGTTGTAATCAAAAAATAGAAAATAGTCAATACGGAATAGAAAATAGGCATAGGCTAATGAAAAAGATGAGCTAACAAAAGAGGAAAAATGTGCATATAACTCATGGAAATATTCAGGAGTCAATCTGAAATGGCTCTGAAAGGTCTTTGTATTGAATCTTGGTGTAACAATCTCATTAAAATTTTCAATTTTTCAGACTTCTCCATTACATATTCTGAAAAAGGGCAGTATCGAACATTCATTATCCTGGATTCAATTGTGTCATCTTATGAATCTATAATTTCATAAAGTATGTCGCTAGGTAGGTAACAAATATAAGTTTCAATGCAATATTCTCCATAAATATAAAGGTACTATCAAAATTTGATAATATCGAATAACACGAATGTCTAGGAAATGATTATTGCTTAGTCATAGTTAGAAGTTCCCACGTAATGTATCATCATTCCATGGATCCAATCCAAAGATCCAAAAATTGATCTAATCTAAACTTTGATGTTCTTCATTGATGATTGATATGTGGTTTTCACACGGTTGTCATCACATCAATGTCATTCTTGCCGTTTTATTCGTCCCTACAAAATTCTCACACCAGAGAATCACAAACCATTGTCGTTCTAGATGACAACCCAGTTAGGTAGTTAGTAGGCAGGAGCTATAATATTGTCTGTTCATTGAAAAGAAAAATGAAGAAAAGATGTAGTTCAGAGACATCTACGTGAACTGAGTAAACTAAGTTATTCATTTTTTATTCCTTACCGAAACATTTTTCATGGTCCTGTCAAGATTGTGAATAAAAATCTGTCATGTTGAAACCCGAAAATGGAACATTATCACGAAAGATATGATCAAGTATGAAAACCATCTACAACTTGAATTTAAGTTGGAACTGTGAAAAATACTTATTATACATCTCGCCTATCAACTAGGTTTTGATTAGGAATGACAATGGACAGAACAGTGGTTGAGGAATAAAAGATGTGTGA